GTCTGGGCTAGTGGAGGGGCTCCCTGCCCATGGCAGGGGGTTGGACCTAGATGGGCTGGTGTGTCCCTTCCAACCCAAACCAGCCTGGGATTCTGTGATTCTTGACAGCTCTGTTACACTTTCTTTCTTCACCTCAATCTTTAGTTTGCCAAAAAGAACTACAGGCAAGAGTATGCCCGACGCCCTTTAATTTACAAATTACCCTATTACACAGTTTTAGTTCTGGAGCTCTCCTTTTTATGCTTTATGAGAAAAACAATGAAGTGAAAAGATTTCTCTTGAAAGTGTTACTTTGTCCACAGACCCAATCATTGGCTTCAGAATGTTCCAAGTTTTAACGTTCAAGAACTGTCAAAATTGGTCTTTTGGGGTTTTTTTAAACATACTTTTGAGGCTTCATGAGCTATTCTCTCTTAGACCGTAACTGAATAGGCATCAAAAACTGGATCCTCTTTGGAACCAACCTCAGATCAGGACCTTCTGTCCTAACCTCAGCTTCCAGCCTGAAAAATCTACCAACTTTGATTTCACAGACATCACAAGATAAGCAGGTGTGAATGAAAAAAAAAAAAAGGATTTTACAAATCTGATATAAATTTTTCTTCCATTGCTCAGCTTTAAATGTTTCACATAAAATAGCACTCTACCATTTCTATAAAACCTTGAGAAAAAACAAAACTGTCCATGTTTAATACTGAAACAAGAGACAGAGAAAACAAAAATCTTACTGGGACCAAGATCTCCATTATTCATTGTTTATTTAATTTTCTATTTGTACTAAAACTTGATTACTTGCTGTCTACATTAGCCACTCTGAAGGAGATCTGAACAAGAGACAGCAAACCCATATGTTCCTTAAACTGACTTCCACATTTTATTTTTGATGTTTGGGGAAAAAGGAAAAAAAAAAAAAGCTTCTGCTCTATTCTAACAAACTTAGAGTTGGAAAATACATCTGTGTCGTACACAGAACAGTTCTGATGGAGGGAGCAGTAGCTTCTAGGATGCATTAAAATGATACAGTTAAAATTGAAATGTAAAATACAATGGTTTAAGTTCTTAATTTTACCAATGAACAACAGAGTACTTTAAAACCAAACTTTTAAAGCTGTTCACTTATTCAGACTGAGATATATAACAATTTTGTCCTTTATTCAGGCCAAGTACTATCGCTTGACTTTTAATTTTAATTTAATTGGCAGTCTAATTTCAGTTAACGTGAGGAAAAAAACCCAACTTGTTAGTGCAAGTATAAAGACTAGAAAAGAGGAAACCATGCTAAACACCCTGAAATGTATTTTCTATAAAACCTGTTTTACAAAAGGCTATACATAGCCTCAGGTTTTGCCATAAACGAGAGCTCAGACGAACAGCAATGTAGCAAACTCACAAACCTTTTGAATGTTTAAAATTTCTTTGGTGTTCCGTGCTTTGACTTTTCAAAAGAGTACGTGACACTTCTCCTTGCTTCTTGTCCTCATAATCTCCACACCCGTTACCACAGTTCAAACGCTGGCCGACTATGCTAACGTTAGAAGTCCCCTGATCGTCAAATGCTAGTCATGCAAAAGGAAAAAATCAAATATTAAAAAAAAAAAACAGAAATAGTTTTTCCTATGTCCTACAGGATTCTCAAATAGTTACATTTTCAGAGGCCCTCAGACCGGTTTTATGCATACAGCATGAGCATTTTTGCCTACAGAAATCTCGGCATGTGAACAGAGATGCCCAAGCTCTATTCATTTTTCACATGCAAAGTCTTTCATCTACAGATAAACCCAGGCTGAAAAATCTAACTGCAAGCTTTCAAAATCATTTTTTAGTTTAAAGTCTTCCAAATAAGAACAACTGAATACTAAGCCATTCAGCATTAAAAGCCAAATTAAGTCATAATTTACCTAAGTGAAAATAGTAAAATGAGTTAAAACACAAGAAATCTTTCAATTTACGTATCCTAGAAGTCATAAAACACATTTTTACGTTACAATTACAGACAATAGAAACTGAGCATTTTTATGCCTGCAAAATGTTCTCAATACATTCTAGTTTTGACTAAAAAAAACTCCAAAAAACCAAAAACCCACAACAATAATTACTTCAGGAATCCTTTAGAGCATCATTTCCTTTTTTCCAAAAATCCCTAAAATACCTATAAACACAGAAGTATTTTCATATACGTACTGTCACCACACGTTCCACAAACTCCACAGAACTGAGCTCGCATTTAACTGACGCATTGCTGGGCACGACCAAGGTGACTGGTACACGTAACTGGTGCTCCCAGCAAGCAGCGGGACCCAGGCGACCTCCTCAGCGTGCTGCGAGGCACCAGCCAGCGGCTCTGCGTCCCACGGCCGCGGTGACGGTGCTGGCGCGTCTCCTGCCACCCGCTTGTGCCCATCTGTCTTGAAGTTCTGCACCGGTGGCCGTCAATGTCAACCCAACCATGTCCCCGAGAGATCAAGAGCCGTACCGAAATCCTTAAAAAGGTTCCTGTGTTCTCTTCTTCAGCGGAGAACTCGGATCAGAGCAGGCTCTTTTGTTCTGCTGGGGGATGGAAACCAACGGGAGCGTTTTGCTGTGGGATTCTTGAGACGGTGAGGCTCTTCCAGCAAGGAACGCTATGGGACGGTGCCCAAAGATCTGGGGTGACGTGAGCTGCTCTGGAAAATTACCGTACGGCCAGATCCACTAAGGTCCAAGAACTCCTTAAGCATGAATTTCTGCGCTGTCCCAGTGAATTCCAGTTGTTATAGTGTTTCACATACCAACATTAAGACCTGACACGTCAGGACTGCTCCGTTAATTACTGGGTTTGGCACGACAGCACCCTCTGGCCTCTGACACTGTCAGGACCCCGGGGAAAGATGAGCTACAGGCCTGACAGCAGGCAGACAGGTTTTCAAGGTGTCAACTATTAAAAGCTGCACAAAAAATTACAAAAATAATTTGGGAAGTAAGAAATGTCTGAGAGCTGCCATTCTATTATAACAAAGCTATGTGAAGCTGATAAAATTCATCTTAGAGAAACAGCTGAAGCAATCTGAGCTCAATGAGCAAGTTATTGACAGGTAGGGGACAAATAAGTTTCCTGAACAAAAAAGAGCAAAAGCATTAAACTCTTAAAAAACAGAAAAAAGCTGAAGGAGGAGCCAGAGAACAACAGACCCTGGCAATACGCTGGGCAATTCAGTTCCCGGGACCGTATCAGGGCAAATAATGTATTTGGAAGCATCCACCAGAAAAGAGAATGATCACAGATATCTGGTCTCCTTCCGTGACACAGCGACAGACCTTGTGAGCAGGAAAGAAGTGAGAAATGCCACACGTCATGTATACGTACACTGAGTAGTTACCAAAAGCTTCAATCTCCAAATGGAGGGATGTATCAAGCGGGGTTCTACTGCAGTCTGTTCTGGACCCAGGACTACCCAATATTCCGCCCAAAGAGCTGGATGATGAGGGAGTATGCAGAATTCAAATGAAGGGGAGCAAACAGGAAGCATACACGCATGCTTGAGGACAGGATCTGAATTCAAGGAACTCATGATAAAGTAGAAGAATGATCCAAGAAGAACCAGTTTGCAATACAAAAGCAGAAGTACAAGACTGTACAGGTAGGACAGGACTGATTTTGCACATTTTACAACAATGCAGCCATAAGTATCCACTCTAAGCTTTCTATTTTCCCTGCAATCAGAGACATTTCCAGGGAGCAGCTCTTCATGTATTAAAACAGATGTCTTCCGTGGGTCAGACAAAGCCCCCTCTGCAGAAACCTCGCTCCCCTCTGATGACCAAGGAGATTTAGGCTCACAGCTGTAACAGATGTCTACGCTTCAGACCACGACAGTTTGCCAAGGTGAATCCCAGCTATAGGCACTAATAACCCGTCATATAAAGACAAGGTGAGAAACAAGCAGCAAAAAGGCAAACACACAGGGACGTGTAAACTGCTGCATAGGTACACAGAGCAATCCTTCTACTCCTTCAGCTCTATGTGTACACCAGGTACTGCATTTCAAGGAAGAGGTAGATCTGTTGAAAACAGCCTAGATGGCAGCAGTTAAAAAGTCCATGAAGTTTGACCTATGAAGGAAAGCTAGAAAACATGGGAGTTAGTCTACGGGACAGAAAATGAAAGAGGGAGAGAAAAAATATAAAAAAGGCAGCTGCTTGGAAGAAGACAATATTCCATCTTTTGATATAAAATAAAAATTAATGAGGTAAGTGACAGCAAGGGGGATTTACGTTCAGTGTTAGAAAAAAACCTTTCATCTGATGAGACAGTTAAAAACCAAACTGACTCTTACAAGTTCTCCAAGTGCCAGCGTAAAAATTCAGAGCTTTTTGGGATTTGACTTGTGTGATGGGCCAAGCCCAGTCAGTACTGGGAGCAAAGGACTTTACCAGTGAGCTGCACATGTATGACATTGACCTTATCAACAGGACACTGTCAGCCCTTCACCGCAGGTCCAGCGCTGTGCATTCTGGTGGGTTAACTGGCTCAGCAAAATAAATGTGCTGCTCACTATTTGATACTGAAGGTCAACTTCTCACAAAAGGTCTTTTCATATAATGAATGCAAAATCATTAACCACACCATGTATTACTGTGTAAGTGCAGGATTTGCTTTCTGGCTTTAGCTGTCACTTGATAAACCTATTTGGTAATTTATCTTCAGAAAAGTGGCCTTAGCTGAAATGAAGAGCAATACCTTCAATTTCTGAAAAAAGACCATGAGTATCAGTAGACAATACTGGTTTTTGAATGGCATGTTTCTGCAAACTCAGGCTTGTAAGATGCCTCCAATCTTATCTGAACTAAGTTTTGTAAACTTTTTGGAAAAAATACATAGCTGCTGAGGCTGCCATAGGGTACAATGGAGCAATCATTGGGAAGAGAGGTCAGCAAAGAACTCTGTGGACACAGCTCCCTCGGTGTCTTTTCTCTAAGGAAACTTTGCTTTCGACACTGTCCCACACGACATCCTTGTCTCTAAATTGGAGAGACATGGATTTGATGGATGGACCACTCGCTGCATAAGGAATTGGCTGGATGGTTGCACTAAAAGAGTTGTGGTCAACGGCTTGATGTCCAAGCGGAGATCAGAGACGAGTGGCGTTCCTCGGGGGTGGGTACTGAGAACAGGGCTGTTTAACATCTTTGTCGGAGACATAGACACGAGGCAGAAATCCTTCCCTGTGAGGGTGCTGAGGCCCTGGCACAGGGTGCCCAGAGAAGCTGTGGCTGCCCCTGGCTCCCTGGCAGTGTTCAAGGCCAGGTTGGATGGGGCTTTGGGCAACCTGGGCTAGTGGAGGGTGTCCCTGCCCATGGCAGGTGCTTGGAACCAGATGGGCTTTGAGGTCCCTTCCCACCCAAACCAGTCCGGGATTCTATGCTGTCCACCCAGCTGAATCAAAATAGATTAAACATAAAGCATAGAATCATTTTGGTTGGAAAAGACCTTTAAGATCATCAAGTCCGACTGCGGACTGACCATAAACCATCAGTTTCTGCCCATTACACAAATCTGCAGTTACCTGTAGTTCACTGTAATCGTAAAATAGAACACCGTCACTTACCTTCCATTTCCTACCAGGAAATTAACTGCTTGCAACATTTTGACCCTTCCTACTCTTATCCAGCTGGTGTCCAGTGAATCTGCTCACAACACTGCATTGAATTTTGAAGTGCACATACTCACGGGTGGCATTTGCATTTACACAGTTTATCTTGACACAGAAAGGCAGAAGCCCTTGAGCTCCTCCTCACCTGCAGCACCACAGTATAATCTCAGTTTGACCACACAGCATCTAGCAATTACTTTTTTTTAAGTGCTGAAGGGACATGAGCTCATTGAACAAGTACGAACAGACACATCAAGTGACTGTGCTGTTACATCAGTGAAGCAAGGTATAGATTGATATGCACAGTGAAATACCTGTGCTGGAGTTCTGCTCTGCCACATTTGAGTCTCTGTTTCTTGCTGAAGATAGTCTTGCAGGCTGTGATTTGCTGCCAAGTAGTGGAAGGGTGTCTGACCTGTTAAAATATAAACCACATTTTTAGAGGTACAATTCTACACTCATCAGAGCCCAGCTAAGTAACACTTTGTAGCAATGACAACAACAGATTTCTATTTCTCCTCCCCAATGTACTTGGTGGACAAATATTTCCAGTATACTTCCTCAAGTGTTCACACTGAGTAGAAACAGAAAATGAATTCAGTAGAAATTATTTGATGAGCAGGTCCATTATGAAGAACACCATAAGGACAACCCTTAAGAGTGAAGTTTACAGTAGGACTAAATTTAGCAGTCACTCAAAAAGCTAAGGAATCGTCTGGCCTAAGGGACTGGCGGTGCTAGTTCCAATCTGGCAAAGAATGGCAAGTGAGGGCGGCCACTGGCCTCTCACTTCCAGAAATGAGCCGGTTTCAGCTCCGCGTCTAGCGGACAGACACTCACCAGGAATATCCTGTTATCTACGAGACAATCTTGGGACTTCTATTGTAGAATGATGCACTGAGACATTAAAGACGACTGAACGCAGAGCCCTGCGCTGCTAAACACTACGCTGGGACTGAAATCCACACAACTGGAGGGCTTGCTTTTAAGATCCTGAGGAAGTCCCACACTTCAGAAGCTTCACTAATACCAGCACCAAGCTCCCATTGCTCACGGTAGTTTATCAGTGGATTAACTAACCCTTCTAAAAGTAAATACACAGGAAAAGACTCCATTTTTGTGGCCCAACTACACAGATGTTGTGAACAGAAAATGCCAATTTCCAATGCTCGCGAACCAGCATCTGAACTAAGCTCTCTGAAATTTTTATGAACGTTCCAAGGCTTTTAATGTCTTCTGGGATGTGTTTTGTCACTTCTACAAATGCCGTCTCCCTGCCAGATGTCCCCTCTCTTCCTTGCTAGTTCGAAATTCCTGTACTGTGAATTCTGTAAAATATTAAGCTTGTATGTCACTGAATAATGGAAATGGTATGTTGTATAGAATGTGTCCTAGTCAAAACCTTGCCTGGAAAAACATCACATGTTGACTTTTTAGGTATTCTAGCATTTTAATGTGTTATTTTAAAGATTATTTTTAAAACTGTGATTCAGCAGTAATGCATATAGGGAAGATATGTACATATAAATTAGTTCTGAGACTGCACAGCTGTGAAAATCCTCCGTTTCTGAAGCATTCCAGTCTCCCTCTGTCTCAAAAAAACCTTTCTTTTGTATATTCTGTCTCCTCCTCCCTACTCTGTTAATACAGTTGTATGCCAGTTATACAAGATGCATTTAGTACAGACAAAAATAAAAGATATCTTCAGACCAGAGATACAAGCGGCTTTATCACGGGCTCTGAGAGGAGAAAAGGAGATTCTCTACTGCAAAATTTGCAAAATTCCTCAAAAACAATTTTATTTCAGTAAAAAAAAAAAGTTTACACTGCTAATCTAATAACCAATTGGGTCATTGCTCCTTACAGTCAGAGTAGCATGTGTCATCACACAATTTCTCTTTAGAAGAGCTCTGTGAAGGCATTTTAAATTAACAATAGTCTGTCAGTAATAAAATGGAAACAGTTCACAATTCGCAATAATAAGAAACATCTACATTGTCTTCCTCTTATCGCAAAAACCCAACCCATTCCTTCTTCAATTTCCAGGCTATAATAAGCAAACCTCATCCTTCCTTGTAACTCATTCTCCTCCTTACTCATTTGTTTAGGCTACGGTTCACATACCTTCCATGGCAGGCTAAAGTCTTACTGAAATATTTACCACCGCTGGCAGTGGAAATCCTTCAAATTAAAAGCCAGCACAAACTAGAATAGTATAATTCAGCAGCTATTGTATAGAACAATGTACTTTTAGACGGGAAAATAATTCATATATAAAAATCAAGCTATTAAGCAAAGCAATGTTATACAAAAACTACATTACATTCACCCCCTTTAATATTTAACTAACACCAGCAGAGACTGTGGGTGAGAATTTCAAAGCAGCGTTACGGTATGAGCTCCACTCACGTTATTCTCCTCCTCTGCGGAACTGCGGACACCGGCGAGGTCAGAGACTCCTGGCTGTAAATTCCGCTTTCACTGCAGGAACCCGCGCTCGGGCAAGGGGACTCCGCAGACAGATCAAGTTTAAGAGCAGAATCGGGACTTTCGAGGTCTGAAATGTTGCTGCTTAGCTTTGCCCTTTTCTTAGCTGCACTGTTTCGTAGGGATCTGAGTGAATTCTGCATCTAAACAGGATTGAAAGCAAAATGACAGGTTTTATTCACTGCATAGGAAAAAAAGCTTTTTTAAGCAAAAGAAAGTATGTTTCAGAGTGTTCAGTTCAATCCATGGGAGTTCAGTGCACGTGCCTCTGTTGGGCAATGTGACCGACCACTTCCGTGGGTTACGCAGTTATCACAACCCCTTTCGCTGTTTCACTTCACAAGAATAATTCCACTGCAAGTAAATGCAAATTCACAATGACACTGTATCCCAGCTTCATTTTGCAAAACACAAGAATGGATTCCTGCAGAAATACATCAGCTGTTCTTATCTTCTTTAATACACTAAAGGAAGTGTTTGATGGCTGCTAGTACATACAATTGGAACCTCAGGCTTTTCATACCTGACCTGCACAAAGCTGCAAAATATGCAGAAGGGAATCCTGAAAACAGTGCCTAGCAAGCAGAGCTCCTACTCAAATAAGCAGGAAAATCTATAATGACTAGAGCTTTGTGCTACTGCATATTCTCTCCTCTTTTTGCTGAATATATTTGATACAAAAAAATTTCTTCCTCTGTCTGTTTACCACCTCAGTAGTGACTACAGGTTGGAAGACAGAGTAAGGCAAAGCCATTAATTCCTACTGCAACTGCTCTCAGATCCGCAGGGACTAAAGACAGGATTTGAGATTCAAACAATTTCTATGAACTGTGACAGAAACAAGGACATGTTGCGTAGGATCATGTGCATAAGATCATACAAAATCCAATCATACGAGATACCTGTGCTTCTCATGTAATCAACGTTGCGACGGCTTCGATTTGTGCTGCTGCGGATACAGTTCCACCTCCCTGCCACCCCTGGAAACAATCCAGCACACCTCTGCAGAATCTCTGTCCTAGTCTGGGGCGGCTATTTGGGATTTCTCAAACACCAGAGAGACTTGAGCAACCAAGTGAGTGACAGGATCCGTCAGGATGTACGGGGCGCAGTGGCAGGGCTTGGCATGAGCTCTCTGCTATGCACAGGGGCATCTCACTGGACATCCCGTGTGACGGAGAAACAGCCGTGTGGCACCTACAGCTACGCTGTCTGCAAATTATTTCACGGATCAGTAAAGGGAGATGCTAGAATAAGTCTGTTCGACTAGTCTCACGGGTCACAGAAGGTATATGGATTTACAGGTATTAAATATTTCAAATATTTTCTAAGTCACAAGTTGAGTGGCACGCTCAAAACACTAGCCACTGAACAGACATAATCGGCCCAAATTATTTCTGGTGGATTTCCACATCCGGGAGGGGTGCTGACCCGCCAGGCCTAGTGTCACATCTGTCTATGTCCTATCAAAGAGCTGCAGGTGACACCACACACATCCAGCTTCACATCACTCCTCCTCATTTTACTCTATGAAAAGATGGTTGAGTTCCGAGAGGGCTGGGACGTCAGCGTGGGTACCAGAGACAGCCCGCTTCGGCAGAGGCGGCAGGCTGACGAAACTCTGGGCTGAGTCAAACGAACCTTTCATCAAGGAAGTTATTCATTATTTCGGGCCCTTCGTTACAACTAAAGGCAGGATTATTACTTAAATCTGACATGAAATTTAAAATGAAGTCAAGATAATGAGAAGCTATATAAAGGCCCACAGTTCTGTCTTGGTACTACGATAACTGAAAACATTACGGCTTGAGCTCTGAGAAAAACAAGGGAAATGAAGATGTCTGGATCAAACACGGGAAGCATGCTTCAACATCACTTTCCATGGCTTGGCTTAGCTTCTATCAGACCCTGGTGGTATCTCACTGAAACCTGCTGTACTGATGACAGCATCACAAAATCTAAGTCAGAAACATTATTTTCTGGCTCTTGTTTAGAAAAAAAAGCTTAAAAATTATCACCTGTTAAAAGTGTGATTAAAAGCATATTTAAACCAACCTCTTCTTGGTCCACTTCCTCGCCATCAACGTTTAGCTCTGAAAGATGAGCTGCAAGCTTCCTATCCACCTCATTCAGCCACACGTCCTCACACTCTTCATTTCTCCACTTTGTGACATTAAAATCGATCCTATCGGGCAGCGGGCTAGCGAGGCGGGGTATGGGGGGCACGGGTCTGGTCCCGTTCAGGCCCCTGCGGGAAGCTGGGTGTCTCACCAGGGTGGGTTTCAGCTGCAGAGGAGCATGTTTCTCCTGCAAGTTCTCCCCTAAAGACGACACAGGCAGATGTCAGTCCTCGGAGGGGAGGCAGGAACACAGCGCTCAGAATAAACTTCATGTCTCGTTTCTGTATCACACCAGAAAACTCCTTTTACAATGAGGCGAGTGTTAAAAAACATATTTATGCATGCAATTTTATTTACTACTGTAAATACATTTCAAGGAGTAAGTTTCTCACATGAACAAGACTGAAGAGTGATTCCCTATCTAACTTTATTTTTATACTACTCATAATTTGAAAAACTTTCAATATTCCTTCTCCAAGGAATCATCGTTTTTCCAAACCCGCCAAGCCCCTGTTCCTGAATACTTACTTACACAGATTTTTCAATATTTAATTTTCCAAAATCATGAGAATGTTACCAGACTTGCCTCATTGCATGGTCTTTGCTATTACCTTTTCCATCTCCCTGCACTGCAAGCTCAGTTACCAATATCTTCTACTTTTAACAAATATAAATTAGTGTTTCATGCATGTGCATGCCAACATATACTTAGCGCCTTTAAAAAGTACCTAACTTTCTTAATTAAGGAAAAAAGAAGACTGGTGTCCTAACAATCTCTCCTGTAAGCTGTGTCAACAACAATAAAGTTATTCTAAAGAAACAAAAAACCTGAAATGCATATGGATAACAAAGAAAATCAACAAATGATGAACACACATCTGCAAGATGAAATTACATGCATTCCAGGGACAGGTGACTTCCAAAGAATTAATTTAGAAATTTTCTGCATATGTGCAAAAATATGTGTCTCAATGAAAATGAAATATAAACCAGATGTCTTTAAATCACTGCAAAATTGCATGTTGAAACTGTTACTCTGCTTACAGAAGGTATCCCTCACGAGTGACTAAGAATCAGTTTAAGCTAAACAGATACTAAAGCTATTTTTAACCTAAAAATAAGATTGCCTTTAGTATTTGAAGGAAATAATCTAAACTGTTTAAGCAATTGTAATTAAATAAACTTAAAACTATTTCAGGTTAACCAATTTGTTCATGAGGAGGAAATCAGGCCATAAATAGCAGTCTCTGCCAGCAGCTGTCGGTGCAAGCTGGGATGAAATCAGCACAGATTCCACTTGTTAGAGATGGAGCTGTTTGTAATCAGGTTTTAAGGAGCCATTCTGAGTGTGGAAACTCAATACATAAGCTTCCAAAGGCAAATAAAGAGGCAAAAAGTCGAAATGCAATGAGTAATGCTTTCTTGCACATGTAGTAATTAGAGCAGTAAAAGCAACAGTTATTTGTGTATTGGCTTTCGTTGAAGTGCTAGATTTTGGGGTTTGTTTTTATTTTAGTTTGAAGTCAAACTTTTCACTGTTACTGATAAGAAAAGCAGAGCTGGTGCATATTTTGCTTTATGTCATATAGTTAAAAGGAACAAAACGTGCCAGCATTTCAAACTGCCAAAATACAAAGACTCCGCTTTTAGAAGAAGCCTCCAGTGACGTGACTAGTCTAGCGCAGCTCCAAACCCCTCGCGTTTCTCACAGCAACTGGGGCACTGCATAATTCCCCATTTATCTGCCACTGTCATTTTTCCGACCACTGCTTGAAGCCACTCAAAACGCAAACCTGAACTCCATCTTCCTATCGACATCACCCCTACCTGTACTGTCTCCTGCCTTCTGACTGAGCAGCTGCGTCTGTGCACTAGGCTTAGGCAGTCCTTCAAAGCTTTTCAGAGGCCAGGAGTTTGAGAAGCTGATGGTATTATCTTGTGACTTCTTTGGGGAGTCAGCTGGAGGGGAGACGTGCTTTGGGCTGTTCCTGGGCGATGACAGGGGGTAAGACGGCAGAATGAAGGCGCCCTGGCTTGCGTTAGGACCTTGGAAGGACAGCGTCTGCTCTGCTTGATTGCAGAAACTTCTCGGGGTCTTGCTGGAAAAATTTAGGCTGGCACAAACTGAGCAAAGAAAAAGAGAATAGTATTTATGGTAATTAGCCTCTTTGACAGCTCTTATAATAATAATTTACAATGAAATAATACACCCTCTACATAGTCAAAACTGAAGGTCAGCATTTTACCCAAGCAAACAGACAAAACAGCTAACTTCATGTTGCAAATTGCATTGTCCCTCAAAATATCAAATTCCTTTTACCTACATTTGATCAAATGAGTTTAAGCCTAAGCTCTCTTGCAGTCGTGTTTTGAAGAACTGTATTTAAAAAACAAATGACGCAAATAGACTGAACATGGTTGTGTTGCTCGCTGCTCCGTATTCCAAGCCTGCATAGCATAAAATTTGCTCTCAAAACTCAGTGATACAAGAGTACAAATACAACACAAATGTTATAAATTCTACTTCCTTTTAAAAAAACAAACAAAAAAGAAATAAAAAATTATTTTTTCCTAGAAACCAGTAGATCAAAAATGATAAGTGTAGATTTGGAACTATGTTTAAATTGTTTCCCATGAAAAGCAGACACACGTTCCATGCATTCACTCGGGCTTTAATCACGCAAGTGAAAAAGAGGACAAGTTTCAGCGAAGTTCCTGACAGCCTCTGGAAGGATCATTGTACGCTGGGCCACCTCAGCAACCTCCTGGAGAGCAGAGCCCACAGACAATTCCACTGCCACAACCAGGAAAGCAGAGCCCAGGAGGGAGAACCAGTGACAATGTGAGCTGGGCCTGGGGAACCTATTAATTGTCTGTGTCACTCCAAAGAAAACCATTCCATTATGCCTTTGTTATAGCAGAAAAAAATCCCTTTACAAATCAGCTAGCTCCAAGGTCTCTGTCTTCTGCTCCTGCTGCTGCCCAAGGCTGCAGCATCCTGCTTCTCCTCAGGTATCCCGGGGCAGCAAAACTGAGACAACCAAGTCAGGCATGGGTTGTACCACCGAAGAAAGTTAACAATAATATCTGGCACAAGAAATGTTTGCAGAGAAATAAATCAGCAAGCGTCGGCAACGCACCTGACAGCCTTCTGAAGACTGAGGCTAAGAGAACAAAACATTGACTTTGTAGTTAGAGGCAAAAAACAAAGAGGAAATTTCTCCTTTCTTTCCATAGGCATGAGAAAAACACCGTATCTAGAGCCCATCAGTGGCTAGAAGTAAACCAAGTGAAGTCCCTACATATCTTCCGAGAAGGCTGTCAGCTCTAGCCCTTGTCCAACGCATCTGGACCACTGAAAGCAGCTCTGTCCGCAGATTTGGTATCCTTACCATCTATTCCTCCAGACAGCAAGTTCATTCCTTCTCTAAGTGTACATCTGGCATTGTTTTTATTATTATTACTTATGAAGAGCCAAGTTTAGATGTGTTACAGGTCTGATTTATCTCAGCCTCCAGCTCTAGGGTTAAGGGGCACTCAGTCAAATCCCTCGCCTCACTTTTGGACCTAGCAGCAAAAGCCGCCTGACGTGGCAGCGCCCCGGCTGCCTGTCTAGTAAAAGCTGTACAGACACCACCACAAATTAAAGCAATAACATGAGAATTAACGGCTTTTACCTGCACCAACACAGCGTCTCCGCAGCACGCCCAGGTCGCTTCCACCCAGCTGCCCTGCTCAGCCGGAAGTCTCCCGCTCTCCCGGCCCACCCTCTGCTGAGGCACCCCAGCCGCCCTCCCCACCTCGGGGGGACGAAAGAGGGGTGTCAGCCAGGCGCCACGGGGCACGGCTCAGACCTGGCCTTGCTGCTACACGGGCTGGACTGATCTGACCTATACTACTAATAGAACTCTAAAGATCAAATTTTCAAAAATAAAAAAAAAGTTCAGATTCTGTTACAGGACCACATTTTATATGGCACACTGATACGGTCAGATAACAAAGGTGCGGGCTGCAAATTAACAACCACAAATGAAAAGCACTGCACAGGAGGGAGGCACAAATACATCTGAATAGGGACTGAACAATGTTTTAGTAACCGTTTTCATTTCTTAAGGCAGCATAGAAATAAAGAGACATTTCTGAAGTAACATGCACCGACTCAGGTTAGTTAGAATCCATATACCTTTTTCCTGCTGACAGTTATTTAATCCTAAAAACTGTAAATCAGAGTCCACACTACCACTCTTGCCACGTGTCTGTGTGTATCCAAGTGTTCCACATCTCCCTGAACTTTGCGGCTGATGAGAGCCCATAGCACCTTTCAAAAGAAAAACAGAAATAACTAGATAAATACTTAACATATGCTATTCAATAATATACGATAATATTTAGCAGTGAATTAAGACTCTTTTTCTAACTTTCAGTGTAAAATATAACTACTTTGAAAGTATTCAATTCAAGAGTTTCTAAGCAACCTCATAGTACTGTTCATGGGCACAAACTGGAAAAATGGCTGGCTGTTCTTCCACGGCACTTGTCCAACTCTGAGAATTGTAGCGGGTCAACAGAAAAACCCAAAACAATCACTCTTTGAATACACGGCAATAAAAGGAAGACAACACCTTAAACCCCCAAATGCAGTGAGTTTCTTTAGAGCGATGCCACTCCTAGCACAGCAGCGACCAACCTTTGCATGCCGCACATTCCTCAGAAAAAGCCCAGAACAAAACCTGCTGCCAAATGAAGAGAATAAATCAGGTCTGGTCTTGCCCAGGCTCTTCACGTGCCTTCTGGCTATTAAAATACAAATCACTGAGTCTTACACTGCTTGTGGAAATCAGGTGTAGCACTAAATCCACAATCTTCTACAGACCTGGTTTTCAAAAACATGACATTTTTCATTCTTTTAAAACAATCTTTAGTGCTCTTTGGACAGCTTCTACCCTTTTACAAAGCAAAAAGAGAAAAAATGTAAATCTAGACTAGATGTGCACTGATCTGCTCTTCTGAACAGCCTACCATACCCAAATACGACCTTCCTGACGTGTTGACCAGTTTACAGTTTGGTATTTCCTACGCTGCTGCTACTATCAGCTAACTCTTGACAGTACGCTTTTTGCAATAATAACTGCTATTCTAGCCAACAACATATTCCTGCTCAAAAGTCAGTAAAATTCAGTGTCTCCTTTTAATTTGCTACTTTAGCTGCAACTCATGCGGTATTTTACAGTGCAAAAGAACGTTGGCTGAATTATTCTGTTGCTGTTATGGTACTTCTTTTTCCTAGTTCTGCAAAAGCAGCGGAAAGCTCTGTATTTCAGGGATATTCCGAGTGCTTCTGTTCAATACATCTGTTCACGTAACCACACTGTTTCTGTCTTTGCTGTCAGCAAAAAAACCTGATGTATAAAAAATCCTGGGTCTATCTAAACTAGTGAAAATTTGTGTGTGTTCAGGACTGGGAAACAGTGGTGCAGGTTTGGAGATGGCGCACGTGTCTCCAGGAGCACGGATGGGACCGCTGCCGCTTGCTTCAGCTGCAGGCATAGCTCTGTGCCCAGTACTCAATTCTTCGTTGCAAATGAAAATAAATAAAAAAACAAATAATCAATAAATAATAAATCATGCTCATGAAGCTACAAATTTATGCTTGGGTTCTTCCAAATCTATTTTGTAAACGGCAGATCAAACACTTTTCTGCGTTAGTACTTACCAGCACAAACAGAAGAATGGTCAGAGTTAAAATCTATACTGTTCTGAAATAGATTCCTTGAAGATCTTTTTCTACTAAAAAAAACCTCATCACTGACTGGTACTCCTTGAGACAGCCTTAATTTTGGAGAATGAAGAAAATCATTTGATGTAGAGAACTGTAGGAAAAAAGAAAATAAAGAAACATTCATGTGTGTGAAATGAATGCGCAACCCTTTCCTGTACAAACAGCAGAATTATCAGCGTAACTTTGTCACCTAGACCCCACCACAGCCCAGACCCATCTCTTTGCAATAAAGCTACACAAAGCACTGTCACTACCTCAGGAAAACAGGACTGATGGAAAATAAAGGTTTTTCTTCCCTATCACTTAGCAAATGAAAAGCAAGAGAGTATGCGCATGTGCCACATCTTTCACCCGCAGAAGCAAATGTGATCCCTCATGCATATAGGCACAGATAAAGCTTACTGAATGGAAAAAAAAAAAAAAAAAAAAAAAGCAGACACCTAGAACAGTGACAGCAGGCCAGAGCAGGGGCTTGGGGCTCTGGCTGCCCCCCCTCTGCCCGGGCAGCAGCCCATCTCGGGGAGCAGCACGGCAGCAGTGCTCCTCCAGCCGCAGCGTGCCAGGCTGCAGGTCCCTTGGTGTTTCTTGCCCGTTCACGGCAGTGGGGGACAGGAGCCACAAAAGGCACCAAAATTAGTGCCCGTGGACAGAAACCGCCAACTGCCTCGTTCCACCCGGCCCGGGGTGCCTTGCTGCAGGGGTGCCAGGAGTGCCGAGCAGGGGGGAGCTGTGCCCCAGCACCCCGGGCACCGACCTGGGGCCGGGACTTTTTTTTTCAACCTCGTCCTGCGGCCACCTCGGGGCAGGTAACTGCCTAAACCCCAAGCACTGTCTGTGCTTTGGAAAACAGAAAATAAAAATAATTCTATTTTCCAACATTAAACAGTCTCACCTAACCCTTCATTAAATGCAACGTAAGATACGAAGCCTTTCACTATCGTGAAACCAAGCAGTAAGTTTGCTGCAGCATGGCCAGGTCAGCAGTTCACAAATTCAGATCCTTCACACAAAAAAACCTGTGAGAATTTTTTAAAATATTAAAATTTAGCACTGAGTGCCATGGCTCATCAACACAATCTGCCAAGACTTCCTTTGTTAATACAAGGCAGTTGATTTTTAAATGCAAAACATTTTGATGAATCTTTTCTTTTCCCAGCTACCCAATACTTTAAGTATTTTAAGCATTAGAAAGCATTTTAGTTGGTTTCCAGGTCTTAGTCTAATACAGGTTGACACTATTCATACTGAAGGGAAAAAAACCCAACAAAACTAACTGGTAGAATACTGCATTAGTCATCAATTTAAAAAATTAATGTACACTTTGAATTATGTACATTAAGCTGTGTGAGTGTTTAAATAGCAGCTACTTGAGGTGTAAAAAAAGCATGCTTCAGATTCAGTCCAAAAGCTGTATCTGGCAATATCAGCACCCTGTAATGAGAACCTGTTATAGTAAAAGGAAAAATCTGAGTAATGTAAATACTTAGCAAAGAAAAGATCATGCTTTAAATAAAGGTTTCTTCCTTTCTGATTCAACTAGTAAAATCAGTAACCTAAATTATTTCTAGGCTATATTAACTCTGAACTCCCCTTTCATAGGCAAGGCTCCACACAGAGGTCAAAATAGAAGCCTGAACAGAAATGGAAATATTTGTGCAGCATTGGAAAGAACAGCATTACGTTAAGCCTAAAAACCTCCTTTACTCAATATACTGGTTGTGTGGAATGGAGAATTTGTAGTCTTAACACATACATCATACATTTACTTATACAATTATTTTTTTTTTCATTTCACTGAAAATCTCAGTTCACCGTAAAGACAGATTCTGAAACTGGGAACCCCAGAGAAACTCTGGCACTATGAACCTGCGGTTCTCCATCAGTCCGTAATTAATTATCTCCTCGCCCCGCCTGACCCCCGCAATGCCGCTTGTGTTCGGCACGGAGAGACCGATCAGCGGCAAACCCCGCTGCGGCACTGCGGAGCCTGCAGAACAGCCAGCTCGGAGCTCCCTGCACGTTCCACGCACCGCGCTGAATCCCGTGGTGGCTGCACAGATTCCGACGTCTTGCAAGTTAAATGACTGGGTCACATAACAGCAGCTAAATGCTCTGATTTCATATCTTGGTGGGGTTTCATCTGATATTTAATATTGTAATGGGGTTTCACACAAGCATCACGAAATAAAGCATGGTCAGAACTTAAAACTTGAAGCGGCACAGTCATGAGATGCGTAGCATGGCTGAGAGCGTACTCTAATTGTCTTTAAATCATTATAATACTTACTTTTTTACATAATATCTTAAAAATAAAAAATTTTTATGGTTATGGAATATAGACAAAAAACTACAGTTTAAACAAAACCCTCAGGTCTCTTCCACGTAAAGAAGACTCACGTCAGCCAGATATACACACAAGCCAAGAGAAATTAAATCTCCATACCCTCCCAATGAGACTCCTCTTGAGAAAATAAACTTCACAATGCAAACTTTTAAATTACGTACTTCTGAACCTGCTCTCTAAGACTGTCCCCCCCTTAAAAATGAAAAAAATAACTCCCATATGGTACCTGCTATTAGTAAATAAATAAGTGAAGTGGCAATTTGCCTCTATTTCCATTTAGTGCTTTAAAAAACCAACGGGTTCCCAAAGGGGCGGCTGTTCACCCCTGCGCCGACGTACACAGCTACGGGGACAGCGGCTGCCGGACCGCACGGCTTCACTGCCCCTGGGAGGGATTTTGCGGTAACAAAAACAGCAACAATTTTGTCTTTACTTACAAAACCGCACATTCCAATTTCCCGTTGTGCGCTGCATTTCACGGGCTCCGCGTTCATCAGGTATGATTAAAGCCATCTGCGTAACAAGCCAAAGCCTCCAGTGCGCAGCATTTTCAGCAAATCCACTGAAATGCTCAAAAAACTTAAAACTTGACATAAAATCTCCACCCTGAAAGCCAGCTCTAATGGAGGATTTACTTTCTAACTGGCCTTCGGGGATTAGACTCTCACTTAAAATATCCATGGACAACTGCTTAGGTCAAAGCATACGGCAGCGAAGGGAAAGTTAAGGAGCCTCGACACAACACGGATCACCTGGATCG